AACATTTAGAAAATTGAAACAATTTTTTTTTTTTTACTATTTGACATTTTATTTTCATCAAAGATTGCAGATTTATTTATAACTCAATAATATGCAACTTGAAATTATAAGAATAGACATACAAATAAGAACAATCCTTTAAGTATCTAACTTCAATTTTTTTTTATTAAAAATATAAAAGTACAATAAATGTATTTTTATAAATTATTATATTATTAATTATTAAAATTTTATTGAGTTAAACTTAAAATATTTTTATATCTTGAATAATTTAATTAAATTTTCTTTCAAAAATTTATAATTTTGTCATTTATTTTTATATTTTTTCAAATGAGTCCCCTAATAAATGTTTTGGTTAGGGGATCTAGTTGCTCAAGTCGCGCATTTGAGTAATTCCTGATTGAATTTATTTTATTTTTATAAATATTAAATTTTATCAATTTAATTATTAAATTAAAAATTGTATGAAGTTTATCAAGTTTTCAAAAAAAATTATAAATAAAAAAGTACTGAATGTTTCATCAAATAACTTTTATGAAATATTTGTTAAGTCATAATAGAATTGTCATTTAGTAAGTTGAAAAATCAATGTTTTGTTAGTTTTTATTTTGTAAATAATGTGTGAAGCTTTTATTTTTGGTAAAGAAGAAAAGAAAATTATGTGAAGATTTTATTTACCTATTAATATATAGTTTTTATTTTCATCATTATTTTTCTTACTTTCTCGCAGAATTGGTGAAATAGCGTTAAAAATGAACTTTGAAAAAAAAAAAAAAGGAATTTAAATTGAATAATTTGATAGAAAGTTTATCTTGAGATAAATGATCAATAAAAAATTCATAATAATATAAATAATCATGAATTTATTTTTATAGTTCTCTTATTGGGTGTTTGGTTCAAACTTTTTATGTAAACATGCAAAGCTAGTCAAGAACTATACAATACAGAGATTGCTACTATTTTTCTCTCCTCTTCTCACTCTCATCTAATGACATGCTCCCTGAGAGTGGTTCAAAATTGGAAACCCAGAATTGAAGTCCTGTACTCTTAGTACCTAATCTATCTAGCAAAAAAGGAAATTTCCTTATACCTTTCTTTTTTCTCATTTGTTATAGAATTTTGTTGAGTTTACATTATGATTTTAGATTTGGTTTTGATTATAAATAACTAAATTCAAAACAAAAAGCTACGGTGGATCTTAATTATTTGTTGAACTATTTATTTCCTAGTTTCAATATATTACTTTATATGATATGCTGGAATTTGACCATTCTCAATGTAACTGTAGTTAATTAGCTATTAATAAATGAAATTATAAGATTATCAAAGTTTAGGTTCAGAAGGATCAATCGTAATTTTTTTTGTTTTCAATCAATTAGCATACAAACAAAATTATTGAAATTTTTTATACTTTTCTTAATTGTTGCTTTATATGGTCATTGAGAGAAATAATTAAAAAATATATATTAATATGGTATGATTATTAGGTACTAATAAACTTAGAATAGATGATTGACAATTAAGGAAAAAAATATAAATTATACAGAAATTATATAATAAAAGTAATTGCATATGTGAAACCAAAATTTTCAAGCTTTTAATAATTGAGCATTTACTTGTGATTATTTGGGCGTCTTGTGATTCATTGATTTCTTTGTTTTTACGTACTATATCATTTTCTTTAATCTCAATTCAAACTTCATCTTCTGGATATTTGTGAAATAATTAAGCGTTCGATTATTTTAATACTTGCCTTAAAGCGTCTATAGGTCGATATTGTGAGTTCTTATTCCTATATTACTTGTTGGGTAAAAAAATGCCCATTAGAACAGCATAATTGTTTTAGATATAATATTATAACTACAATACTAAAAATAAATAAAAAATTACCATTTACTTTTAAAATTTTAAAAATATTTCAATAGAAAAAATATTTTAAAAGTTAAAAATATGAAGGATTGAAAAATATATATAATTAAAAATGAAAAGTATTCTAAATCAAATAAAAAGTTTAATTTACCACGCACCCAAGCACCAAAATAAAAGGCTAAAATTACCATTGGGTCAAGGATCATCTAAGGTCCAATCTATGTCATCTTGCTCAACACTCCATTTGTCTAAACTGAGAATCCCTATCTATTTACCAAACACCATGCACGCTTGAGAATTTCAGTATATTCACCAGCTAGAGGTGCCCACTTATTTTTTTGTTTTACCTCATGGGTTGGGTGGGCTAACTTGATTGTGACTCACCTGTAGATGATGAGCCTTATAAATATCATGAGTGTAGTGTAGACACCAGACAAACACCATTTTTCACATATTAAAACTTTATTTATTTACGTATTGAATTGAGTGCTGAATTGTCTTTACATACACACCCCGGCTCACTCTCCATTGCTTGGACAAATTCCGAACTTTATTCTTAAGCCTCAAGTAGATCAAGTGGACCTTAACCTTCTTTGGATCAATGATGAGCTTGATCATTTTGATGTTGTTTGTGGGAAGCCGCCAAAATCTAGTAGGAAGATGTTGTGAGAGTGATTTTTCCAACTGCTTAGGAAGGTTGACCGAGGAGATGATATCAACCTCTATGTAAACAAATGATCAATTCCCACGTTTGGCAACAAGCTCAATCCCAACGTCAAACTTTGGATCCCATATAGAAAAAGAACGAGCCCAGAGAAGGTAACAAACTATAACTTTTCCCTAGCCTTTTGAGAGGGTCCTTCGAATCTTGTCCTCTTCAGTGATGATTGTATTTCCTTTTGTGGTTGCTACTAATACTTTCGTTGTTTCTGCTCTTGAAGGGTATATGAAGAACCAAGCGTTGATTGAACCCTCGATTGAGAACCACCCGCTTTCAGCCTTACTGTCAACTTGTTGGCATCTCATTCTTTCAAGAATACCTCCTTGACTCACCATACTCTCTAAAAGATTGCATAAAGAGAAAAAAAGGTTAGCTAAATCTTAAAAGGAAATGTAAGTTTTAATTTTTCTTTTTAAATACCTTGAGGAAGGACTCTTTTAGAAGTTCATCTATGTTTAGTTTACTCTCCTTAATTGAGTAACTCTGAGACTGTTGAAATGGTCCTTGGATCAATACAATAGATATCAAGGCTCCAAGGTCCCATGGATTATTCTAAAATGGAATAATGTTCAGTATAGAGTTGACTCGGTTGAATTTCATTTTTCCTCTTGTAGGCCTAAACATGGTTCCATGAATTTTGCATTATCCGCAGGGGGTCACCCAACACATGCCATCGTGACTAGAGATATGCTAAAGTTGAAATGGATGTGAAAAATAAGAAGGTTGGAGCCTGATTCACAGATCCACACATTAACAAGAAGTCTAGAATGCCCAACCATTGGATAAAGATGGGGAGGGTACAACCATAGTCGATTCAGCTCTGAGATCTCGAGCTTTGTGAAGGGAAGGCGCATGGGTTACATGGTTAAGATGTTGTAATTTAATGCACGTATATATCTACTCGATTAATATTTTTTAAATTAACCATTCAATTAAAAGTGAATTTTTATTTTTCTTAATTTTTTAATTAATCCTCAAATTCCATTCATCAATATTACACACAATAAAATATTTTCAAATCACCATCAACACAATCTTGTATAAATTCAATAGAATTTCAAGATTTTTTAATATCAAATCCAAACATTTCTGTATTTTTTATTTTAGCTGCCAATAAAATATTTTTTATCAATAAAATATATGTTTTCAATTTATCAAAACCCTTTCTCGCCAATACCCTACTTGACTTTCCGCATGATTTAATGTTATCGAGATTTAAATAGTGGTCTCCGGAATATAAAATTGAAAAACTGGGTTGTACTAGACCGGCCTGCCACACAGCAACACAGTTAACGGTAAGAATAATAAAAAGCAACCTAAAAGAAAAGAATGTTCTAATAACAGTGACATAGTGGAAGAATATAAAATTGAATGTCGTCGATTATGGTCACTGACACAGAGCCACCCGCTTCACCCATTCATTCTATCCCAATAGATTGACCAAAAGAATCAAAGGTGAAATGTAAAAAATGACGAATAGCGGTATGGAGACAGAAAAGTAGGGGCAGATGACGTCTAGACCATACAATTCCTTTAGTTTTATTCATATGAAGTGAAGAGAGTTTCCCTGTATAAACGACAGTAAAGCTATGATTTTACGATACAAAAGCAATAATGAGTAATTTTATGTAGGCCCAACAACTTTTATATACGTACTAAAATATCCTCGCTTTGTGACCCAAAATAAAACATGTGAAATTGAATATATTATGACTCTTGCTGTCCAATTTTATTATCTTTTCTCCACTTTTTGATTTTGGATTAAGGATAACTACATAGATGCGGACAAAGTGACACCTAATCTCTCACGTAATGATCAATTATGCTATGATGATGATACAAAGAGATGCCACTTAAGATCTCATGGAGACACGTATGCGGGATTAAAATTGCCCCTAATTAATCAGGCCGTTCACTGAGTATGAAATGACATAACGCCAAGAAATGAATGAAAATGGGCACAAAAAAGTAGCTTTAATAATTAGCTTCAAATAAAAAGGGTTAACAACAAAAAATTATAAAAAAAATAAAACTAAGCTCAGCTTTTAAAATTAAATTCAAATAATTAATAATAATAAAATTTACTTTAAAAACAATATTTATTGTTATTCATAACTTTAATATAATAGATATTACTTTTAAATATTTATCTTTAATCTTTAAGATTAACAGAAGTCTCAAAATGTGTAGAATGATATATACTTCCAGTTACTAATTTTACACAAATGATTTGACGTAACTACATAAAATTAAATTTAAGGCCTTTCTTATCGCGACTTTGATACACTAATTTATTCAGAGGAAACATTAGCATCTATCTATCATTGGGTAGTTTAAGAACAAGTCCATTATTCATTAAGTCGAAGCTGTAAGGATTTATACTTCTGAATCAAAATGCCAAAAAGAAAGAAAAGAGCGAAAGAGAGAGAAAGAGAGAGAGAGAAGAATATAATGCCAAGTGCATACAATGCAACTGTTTCTCTTTTTCACTTGGACCCATTTCTTTAATATATGAAAGAATTATAAGTACTAAGTAGTTCACAGCTCAACCCACCTCCATTTCAAAGCTCTATTCTCACCGCATTTTCCCTTCACTCACTCCTCCACCACAATAATCTCTCCCAGCCTTCTTCCATTCACTAATGGACATGGAAGAATCTGTCCCCATAGATAGTGAAGTTCAACCAACCACCTCATCATCTTTCACCATTACTACTTCCTCCTCTTCCACAGAAGAAGCAACTAACATAGAGGGAAAAAAGAAGGTGAAGAGAAGCAATGAAGGGAAGCACCCAACGTATAGAGGAGTGCGTATGCGTCAATGGGGTAAATGGGTATCCGAAATTAGAGAGCCAAGGAAGAAATCAAGAATTTGGCTTGGTACTTTTCCCACACCGGATATGGCGGCTCGAGCCCACGATGTGGCGGCTCTCACAATTAAAGGCAGCTCGGCTTACCTCAATTTCCCCGAATTAGCCGCTGAGCTGCCACGCCCCGCCAGCACTTCCCCTAAGGACATCCAAGCTGCTGCCGCCAAAGCCGCTGCCTTGGATTTCAACCACCGGAGCCATGAAGCTGAATTGGAAGCCGAGTCTGAACTGAGCCGAGCCGTTTCCTCTTCAAGCCTCACCCAAGCTTCGTCATCGTCCGATTCATCGTTGAATGGTGAGGATGACACATTCTTGAACCTTCCTGATCTTTCACTCGACTTGAACCATGGTGCTGATGAGTTTCATTATTCCTCAGCTTGGCTTGTAGCTGGAGCCGAACATATAGATTCGGGTTTCCGGCTTGAGGAGCCGTTTCTATGGGAATCATATTAAGTTACCTTACCGAAGTAGACAGCCAATTTTCCTTTTTTGATGTTTGTGCTGCCTCTCTCTTTTTCCTTTGTTCCTTTCACTTTTGGGCTACTTGCTAGAAGCTTGAAGTATCCAGATGGTCCATGGCAGCATGACATGATGGGTCATGGACTCATGAGTCATGGCTTCATGTGGTGACAACATCAAGTATCATCCATGGACAAATAATGAAGATTCACTAAACCCACATGATAGTGAGTTTTTTTGTGCTGTAAATATTACGTCCTCCCCAAAAATATTAGCCTATCATTTTAGACAAGGTAATTAAATTGCCCTGCATCATCTCCAATTTGTTGTAAATTTTCCTCACCTGTCTTGTCATCTGTATATCCCCCCAGTTTGTCAAATTTTATTTTAATTATGTATTGGTGAATATGGAATAAAATTCAGCTGGGTATTTCTTTTTCGTTTTAATTATTGTGCCCCCTCCCCTAGGGGGGTTATTAGAATAATGTAGTTTTGATGACTACCTTTTGTCTTTATGTCCTAATTTTGTTGGCATCTTTTTAAAATTTAATGTTTATTATATTATTGTATTTATTTTTAATTAAGTTCACACCTGCTTTACAAAACTGGCAGGAGAGGCACATCATGAGGTGATGATATAATATCACGACAACTTGCCACTTAAATTTACCTTTTCTTTTTTTCCTGAGTATGCATATATTTTGACTAAAGCTGATGTTGCACATGAGGGAGCATGGTGTAGCAGAATATCTTTTTCTTAGTACCATAATAAAGATACCACTGATACAAATCAGGCTATATATGCTTTCTTGCCAAATTGGTAACATTGACGAGTACTGCACTATCACCAGAATCACGTATAAGTATTAATTGCTTAAATAAGTTGGCTCTAAAGGACCATGTCTTGGAGTCTTCAAATGAATTAGAGGATACAAAGGCACAAGATATGCAGATTGCAGTAGTTTACATAATTTAACAGACTTATCCCACGTAAATATTACCTAATTATAGAAAGTGTGTAAAGGATTTGAGTAGTCCTTATACTCAATTTCAAGAAATGAAAAGTGAATATGGATAAACCTTATGATCTTTAATAAATTGAAAATCGAAGAAAAATATTAAATATCTATAACTGGTAAACTTCAATTAAATTTAGATATACAAATTAATAGAGGTGTTTATCATTTCATTTTAAAATTAGATCATATTATAGAAAAAGGGTATTATTTTTATTTAAAAAAATCTGCTACAATTAGTTGTAGAATCTAATAATTAAATTTAATAAAAATTTGTACTTTCTCCTTTAATATAATAATATTATATTGTTATTTAGGAACATTTAAAAGAATTCATAAAAAATTATAAAAATAACTTATGACTCTCAAACTTTTTTAGCTTGTTTTAGAAAATTTTATGGTCAAATTTATTACACAAGTTTTTATATAAAAAAATTATTCATAAATATTTAATTAAGTTTCATTTTTTAATGTACCATATTAGACGAAAAGGTCCAAATTAATTGTTTTAGTAGAAATGTTCTATTTTCTTAATGTTGATTTAAAGTAATTAAATTCACACTAACAATATCAAATTTGACATCATAAATGTACTTATAACTATATTTTAAAGAACACGAATTTTTCGCAATGGGTGAACATACATTTTGTTCCACTCATTGTCAATTATCAAAATAAAAATATTTGATACACATTTATCTACATTTACAGAAGGGTAGGAATAGAAGAAAGAAAACTGAAAAGTAAGAGAACGTTAATAAAAGAAAACGTTAAATATATATTTAAAAGTAAGAATTATTTTCGAAATTCTTCATTTTTGTCATTTTTTTAAATTTTAATATACATAGGAACTAGGTTAACATTAATATATATATATATATATATATATATATATATATATATATTCCATTTTTTTCATTTAATATTGTGATAAAAAAAACATAGGTAATAATATATCTTTTTATAAAAGCCTTCAATTATTTTTTATTTTATTTTTATATAAAATGATTTATTAAAAAATACACATTAGTTAATTGTTAAAAGTAAAAATAAAAATAATTTATTTATTAAAATTTTTAAAAGATAATCTAAATAAAATAAAAGTAAAATTTAAAATGTCATAGAAGAACTAAAGGTAGTAGTATATATTGCTACAAAGTGAAATTATATATTATTAAGATTTATTATTGTTGTTATTATTTTTATTTTATATTAAAAATAATTTGCTTACATTCTTTATTAAGTAGTTATTAAGGATGAAAATGGGTTAAGTCGGATTAGACTTAAGGATAAATAGGTTTAATTTACTACATAAAACTAAAGCTTAAGTTTAAGTCTATGATTTAACATTGGCTAAATTTTTAACCTTAACCTAGCTTTTTTTTAGAAACTTGACCTAGTCCAATAGCTTATTTAATATAAAGACTTTCAAATAACACTACATTTAAGTTTAAGTTTAACGGGCCAATAAGCCAATAGCCAACGACCTAACAAGCTAGAAGGCCTATTACTAGTAAAATAAAAAACATGATAAGTAATTATATTTAAATACTATGTTTAATAAAAAAAAACATAAATAGTTTCACATATATCATATTTTAATATAATTATATTTAATAACTCTACAAAATTTTATATATCAAATAATCCAAAAGATAACATGTTTATAGTATGTAATCTCAAATAACAAACTAACAATTAAGATGTTTATTATGAAAATAAAATAAAAAGTGAGACTAGAACATAGAACATAACAAACAATTGTTAAAGACAACTTTTATTTTTGATTTATACAGTTATGATTTTAAAGAATTATATTAAGATTAAGAAGTTAAAAAGTATTTGAATTAAAAAGATTAGAATAGAAATTAAGAAATAATGAATTTTAGTAATAAATTAAGATATTTTAAAAATCAGACAAAATTTTAATTAATAATTCTTTTTATGATAAATTTTAATTTTAATACTCTAATAGTATAATTATAATTATTATATTATTAAAGTATAAATACTAAATTATGTTACACATTATGTATTATATATAATTTTTTTTAGACAATCATATTTATATTAAATTATTATAAATAAATAAAAATTATAAAATAATATAATTATTTAATTAGATCGACTCAATAAGTTTGAAAAAAAAATTTAAGCCTAAGATTAATTTCTTTATTTAATTAAGTCTTTTAAAAAATCTAAACTTGACTTTTTAATAAATGAATTGAGCTAGATTAGACTTTAAATAAGCTAAGTCATAAACTTCGATAAGTTGTTTGATCCATTTTTGTTCCTAGTAGTTATCAACAAGAACATGACATGTACAAATATAAGGTGTAAGCATAATATTAAAAAAAAATTATGTAATTAAGAATCTTAATTGTACTTAATTTATAAAATCATCATTTTAGAAAAAAATGATTCTTTTAAAAATGTAACTGACATAAAATCTAAAGAGAGAAAGTTAGTTTACATTATATAATAAAATAAAATAGTTTATTATGCATATTTGTATGTAAAACCCTAAAACGATAGAAGAGAATTCCATTGTTTTTGGGAGGCTATATATCGTGCCGTACGTAATAGGCACGAGAGATCTCAATTAACCACTGCTCCTTACAGCCATTGAGATTCCTTCTTTTGATATTTTTAATCGATGAAATTTCATTTGGTAATTATGACTGCTTCAACCCAATAAACACAGAATTACAATTAAAAAAAAAAACCTTTGAGGTTACGGATTTTTTTTTTGTATATATTTAGAAATTATATCTACTGAAATTAATTTTTTTTAAAAATTACAAAAATATATAATTTAAAAATGGGCAATGACAATATTTAGTATAGATACAAAAATTCAGAAATAAAAGATAAAAAGTGACAAAGTGCCAAATTAGAAAATTTTTAAAATATATTAAAAAAAATCGTTGATGACAATTTTTAAAATAGTAATTAATTTTTTAAAAAGTAATTTAAAAAATCATATAAAAAAGGCCATGAGGTTACCTGTCATCATAGGAAAAGGAGGAACCGAAGAGGAAAGTGCAGTTACACCTCACCACATTAAAGTCCATGTAATATCACTTTCGCGTTATGACAATTATGATTTTATTTGGGATATTGTTTTTAAATTAGTAAAATTATATTAAAAAAAAATTAAGTATTTTAATAAAAAAAAACAATTTTATATAAAATTAATTCTAAAAATTGATTTTAAGGTTCCGATAATTCCCAAAGATGGCCCGGGCATGAATAATGGTTCGTGATGACACGTCTATGGTTGACTGAAAAATTGGTGTGGATTGGGAGACCAATTATTGGTTTCGTTGTCCACAGTTTGATACATGCATTGTCCCCCAAAATTCATTGAGGCATCTTGTAGAAAGATACCAAAGATTTTTATACTACATTCATCTTACAGGCCCAAAAGAATAAGCACCGACTTTCCCAATAGAAGTCGAACACGTTATGTCTCATGATCTTGACCGTTGCTACACAGATTGAAGCATCCTAGGCAATGACACAAAATTTGAACTTGAGGTCATTTTCTTTAATTATCTATAACAGTTCAAATATAAAATTATTTTTTCCAACAAATAACAAACTTCTTTGATATCTCCTCTTCTGCCGTGTTCCAAAAGTGATTCTTAAAAAAATTATTAAATTTAAAGGTATAGAAAAATAGAAAGAACCTTTATAACTTGTAACCAGGTACTTATTTTCGTCTGCTAGCGTGGTGCTCTCTTGTTTGGGTTTACCTAACAACAATAAGGATACTTTCTTTCAATTTAGAGGATTATTACCTTATAGCCAGGAAAATAAGATGTGGTATTAATTTTGCTTGTGGTCATCTGGTCAATTTGGCTGCCTAAAAATTCAAGTAGATTTTACTTTTAAGAAATTGAATTTGGAAGTTACTCAAATTATTGCGTTTCAGGCATTGTATCTATCGATAGAGGGAAAGTGAGGGAATAAAGATTTTGAATAATATTCTCTTAAATAATATTGCGATGAGTTATAAAAATGGTGATAAAGCATAAAGGATTAATTATTATTATTATTATATTAGGTTTAGTTGTATTTGTAATACTCGTAATTGTAATTTCTTTTACTTTTAATTGTTTATATTTTTTAATTATTCAAACTGTCTATCACATAAAGAATCCATCTAATAATTAAAAACATTATAAAAAGTATATAGTATATCGTTGATTTATATAAATTTGTAAATAAAAGAGTATATAAAATACTTAAATAAAAATAAATAAGCTTTTTATTATATTATATATATTATTTAGTATTTTTATTTGACTATTTTATGAAATTTTCTTTTTACTAATTTATACAAATCAATAATATGTCATGCCTCTATTTTATTGTTTTTTATAATAATTGGATGAAATGT